ACATAAGTTACTAACGATTTACGAATACATTAAAAAAAAGCCATTGTGCTATATCATTAAGATTTTCTTCCCACATTTTCCACAATTAATTTGAAGGTAAAAGTGATAAGAAAGAATAACATCAAAAAAAAGAAGAAAACAGGAAAGAGAACAAGGAGACGCAATAATACGTCGGATGTATGAATTGTTGAATTGAGCTTATTGACTTGATGAAATATAGGAGAGGCGGTTTGGAGGGCAACCTTGCTTTATTGGCGCGTATGGAAAACCACGAATGCCTGAAATGAGCAGTTAGTATTTCTCTCTCTCTCTCTCTCTCATCTATGTACAATTAGAAGTTGTGGAAATGATTGGTATAAAATAAAAGGATGCAATAAGCCTTGTATAGAATTAACTTTGTTCAAATTAACTATGCACGGATTCAAATTAACTTTGAAAATCTCGAAGTAACTTTGCTCATCGATGAAGAAACTCAATCTGGCATTATTGAAATAATTATGCCTTCAGTTTTGCAGCTCAAAACTTATTCCTTCGACAAACATATAGCCACATCGATTTATGTGGACATATTCTTTTCAATTAACCTCAGCGAAAGGCATGTATGGATTGTGCATAGATAAAGATACTGTGTAGGCGATGCAAATATAGGACAAAAAAGTTCACAATGTGCGCAGTAGTCCGTACAAACATTAATTTTGAAAAGAAAATTAAAAATGTAGCACGAAATCAAAAGAAAAACTGAAGCAGAAGCAGACGAAAGGTTAAAGTATTAGATCAAGCTACGGATAGTACAGCGGTTCCATTTTCATTTGAAAGACTCCTTTTCCATCCCTCTTCTTCTGCCCTATCTGTTATCGTTTAAAAGTAGGGAAAAAATTTCCAGTACTTCGGAAGAGAAGTGGGGTTCCACTTAATTAATTAATTTATATCTGTTCAAACTCCATTCATTGCCAGCCCTGCTTTTTTTCACTCTTTATTGCCCTTCTCAATTTATTTTTCTTTGTTTGCAAAAGTATCGCTTTTATGGTTTCCAACGAGAAAATTCATTCTTTGCTTATATCTATCGAATTTTGTCCCTGAATATTAATCGTTTTTGTATTGCAGAAACAATTAAGCTTATTTATGATTATCACCGCTTATTTACGACTCATCAGCTTTTTTTCATTTCAAACTTTCACTTCCTGGAATCAAATCATACATTTGCTTTTTTCTCAGATTTTCCAAAAATTTGCTAAAAGAATTTCGAGTACAAAAAATTAAGAAAAAAGCAATGATGTAAGAAAATGCTAACAGTAAATTATTTAATATTATAACATAAAATCAAAACAACTCAAAAAAAATTAAACCCTTTGAAAATATGAAACTACAATTTCGCAAAATTAATTTTACCCGCTACAAATTATTCCAATACACCTAAGAAGAGTAAAGAATTTTTGCTTGATTCTAACTTTTATACAAAAAGTTAAAATAATGTGAGTCTGATCTAAATACGAGCAAAATTAAATGCTTAAAATAAAATAGAGTGAATTGTACGACCAAATAATGAATGTACAGATTTAATTAAATTTCAAGATGTTGCTCGATCAAATACATCTAGCTTAGGCTTAACGTTAAGCTATCTAAACAATACGTGCACTTACAGAAATTAAGTGAGAGTGCCCCAGTGATACATATCAGAAAAGACTTCTGATCACATATTCATATGTTTGAAGTGAATACCATTGTTAAGTATTCTTCATATCCGATTGTAATGATACCATCACGATCAGTATCTTTGTCACGAAATGCTGCCGTCAACGTTTGTAAAACAACGCATAATTGGATAAAATCATCGAAATTTACGCGATGGGTATGTGTCCTATCAAACTTCATCATTAAGAGATCAACAAATCGATCACTTAACCGATAACCTAAAAGTATAGAGCAAAAATAACAAAAAAGATCTACCATACATTACATGTATATATCACGAATCCCATCTCTGTTTTGGTTACTGGGCAGATAATCAATTTTCTATCATTTGTTTCTTTTTAACATCTTAAATGGAAAAAAGGCATCGAAATGTGAAAAATTAACAAACATAAGGAAAAGTTTTGCGGTTACAAATATAACAATGTTAGAGAAAGACAAATAACCGAATTTAGAAAGTGCCATTGACAGCTCTCGTTTATCAATATTGCCAGAACTGTCAACATCAAAGGAACGAAAACACTGCGTCCACTGATTGATATAATCCCATAAGGCAGAAAATTCATTGAAATTGATAGCACCATCGCGATCAGAATCAAACATGCCTACAAACTTATCAATTTAATAGCTTCACAATACCATAGCCATCCGGCGGCAATAGCCATATTTATTTTAAATTCCACATGTGGAGTGGAAACCTCAAGTTGGATCTTCTTTTTGAAAAATCCGATAAGCCTTTTGAGATGTCTTTGCAAATGAAATTGATGGGTCTTCAGACTGCAAGTAAACTGAACTACTTCATCAAAGTTTCCGAGTCCGAAAAATCTCCAAAACTGCTAAGAAAGAATGATGATCCCTAATATAAATCATGAAAAGAATTACTTATCATTAACCGGCAAGTTTCAGGATTGAATGGATTCCAGGTGCCATTTGATAATGCCCTTTGTAATTCATCCACACTAATTCTGCCGGAACGATCGGTATCCACACTGGTAAAAATATTTTGCAATGATGGATTTGGTAGTGCCATTGTGAACTATTTGTTTTGTCTGAAATGAGTATGCAAAATTAATAAACAACGCATTACTCTGAAACAATTGTCGTGGAAAAAAACAAACATATAGTTCTACGGAATGATATGAAAAGGGAAAAGAAAATTAGCCTTGCCTTTTTAAACATAAAATTTCTTTTCAAATATCAAAAAGTATTATAACATATCGTATGTAGATGATAGCTATCTAACTTCTAACAACAGCATGTGGTGATAATATACAAAGAGTTCTTGGAATCTATTTACAATAAGGTTCTTGACCTCTGCCCCTCTCATTTCCTAGTGAAAGACAAGTCTATACAAAAGAATAAAAACCATAAGTTCATTGTTTGAGGAAATTATTAAATAGAACGAGGGATTCGGCTATGTTCAAGCAGTAATTAAACTTTAGAGATGATTGCTTTAAAAATTTGGAAAATATGAATTGGGAGTGGTGAAATAAAGTTAAAACACCCCAAAATCGGAATATCCGAAAGTCAGAAGATTATATCTATATTACTGAAAGAGCTTGCAGATCCCTTAATTATGAATTATTTTCTTTATTGACACCATTGTTGGCTCAATGAGATGAGATAAAGTTATCTAGAAAAGTGGTCACAAAAACCACTTACTTATAAGCAATCAAACTGCAAAAGGGATTATCGTATTTGTAATTGATGATATTTAGTATGGATTCAAATTCAAAAATGCTAAATGAAAAATAAATTTTCAAAATTAAATTTCATGAAACAAATTCAATGATGCAAATAATCTGATGATACAAAAAAAGGCAAACAGAGAGCATCTTTTTTCCAGTTAATGAAGATGAATCGATACGGATGTGTCATAAGACAACACATGACAAACCATAGAGCGGTGCAATTACGCGACCTACACTTGATGCAAATAGACGTAAACAACAATTATCGACTAAAATGCTGGTCGATTAGCCAATCAATCGACCTCTAAAATGATCTCTCCCAAATAGGGAAATTATTACTTGGCAAGAATATTATCGCTAAGGTGAGGGAAGAAATCCATTAACTGTATCAATCAATGACATTAAACGATCTAAGACTTTTTTTTTTCAAATTAAACGACCTTATTTGTTGTAATTGAAAAAAACTGAAATGTTAAAATAAATTAATAACAAGAGTAATCTGAAATATCATTATAATGTAACAGCGAAATATTACATAAGCGCTGGACTATGACAAATTTATCACTGAAATCCTCCTCCAATCATTCACCGTATAATGCAATTTATAGAATTATAGAAATTTTCAGTGTGATTGTGTTGCATGAGTCAAATCCTCGTCATTTAAACAATTTTGATTAATTTAACAAAAATCCTTTTATTAGTTATTAATATTGATCGATTGTATTCTCTTTTATCCACTCTTCTTACTAATAACGATAACAATTTGCTCGTTTGGGTGAAATAATTCACATTTCTTATGCATCAGACAGAGATTAACTGACTGTTAGACTTTGTGAAATATATTAAGAATGGATAGCATATAACGGTCGATCATGAAAGACATTCTTTGGAAACAAGCTTTTCAGACAATCAGCAGCTTCAACAATAAACCTGGAATTTTATCCATTCCCAAATAAACACAAATAACAAAAACGACCAGAGCAATAGCTGTGTTATATACAAATATCAAATTCACCGAATGCCATGAAAGCGATATTCAACAAAGAAAATAACAAGATATTATCAACTACGACATAAATTATTAATACGGGCTTGGGGCAATTGATATGGAAATGAATAGTTTAGCATTTCCTGCAGCTGAAGTTAACTAACGAAAAGAGAAAAGAAATCCAAGAGTAACTGTCGCTTCAATTCGACATTTCCTGCCCATCAGAAGTCCTCTTGAATTATGAGTTTTTAAATCCTCAATCTGATTTTTGATTTCTGATCAATTAGTCTTATACATGATTTCTATTTCCGGTGTGATTTCGCTCTCATGCTGTCAATAAAACAGCATATTTACTTGTGCTCAAACAAAAATGACTAAAAGAAACCATGTGCGAAACGAAAATAAAATTAATAGCGAGGAGAAAGTAACATAACATATAATAATTCAATTTACTCGTTAAAAGAATAATGGAACCACTATTGAATTCTTAGTAACATCTCGTCATTTTAGCCTATTAAAAGTTTTCAACCACATTTAGCGGATAAAACCAGTCACGATCAACTTCTGCCTTCTTAAACACATATCCAGAATAATCTAACAGAAATAATTCATGAAACACATATTCAAAGACATTATTCCTTTCGTCTCATTGAATGAGCCTCTTTAGCTTTGAGCATCGATTCAGCTACTAATTTTTGTCGTCCAACAGCCATCATAACCATATGTCGCATCGTGCTTTCATTACCACATATGCCTAATTGGCTTATGCGATGGATTCGAGCATTGTTTCCAACTACTATCATAACTGTATTAGGAGCTACTCGAAACAATTCAGACACTGGATCGCAAAGAATTTTCACCTGCAAAACAGATCCGTTGATAGCACGTATAATCACTTAATTAACTACTAGATAATTTGAGAGTTAAGATTCATCCATAGTTTAATACAAGAAATTGTATGTGAATTCATACATAGTTCAATACATGCAATTGTATGCGACCTATGATGAATGACTTATTTTTACATCTGAAGTTACGGACAGAGCTCTCAAGAGATATGTCATTCCCAACGCGAAAAAGCTGAAAAAATCAGGTATAGACTGAATATAAATTGAAATCAATTTCAAATCTCAAGAGTTAAAACGAAAACTATAAGTCTGAAGATAAAAAATCACCAATACTACTAGCAATTACAACCAGGGCTGGTCTTCGATTACAAAAGACTAAAAAGACCTTCGTGTTAATCACCGAGAAGTCCCTAAATCTCCAGTGAACTCTATTTAATTCGCTTTCACTTCTCTCTAGCGATTGTTCCTTAACAAATGACTGTAATTTTAATAGTGAAGTTTCTGGAGTTTATAAAATTTGTACCAGCAAAATTCAATATTTACATAGTGCTTGAAAATATTAAAAAAAAAGTTATGAGAAAAACAGAGAAATTAAGGAAAGCTTATTACAAGATCACGTAAATACTTTTATTCAAACGATTTGCTAGTAAAAAGCATTTGACACAATAAACTTGTACCTCTTCATTTGGCGGTTTATATACAATAAATGTCGATGAAACCGGAATGTCCGCAACTTCAATGTGATGAAATGTCTCACTAAGCTTAACTTTGTTGATATTAATGGGAATATCTTCTTCGCAATCAGTAGAAGCATCAGGTAGCCGTAAATCAACCAATGCTCCGGCTATACATGTACATAGAGCATCACATATAGCTCCATCAACGTTTAAAATCTAGGAAGTTTGAGTGTACATAATACATTGTAGAAGTATAATGGTGTAATTGTTTTTGTACCAGCTTTTTATTATACTGTAAATCTTCTAGTTATTTTTTTTCATACGTTTTTTTCACACACATATTACACATTATATTATACATGAAGCAGTTAGGCAATATAAGCTTGTTTTATCCTTGAATTTTAAGGACGATTTTATTGTCAATCAGTTTAATGAAAATAGCTCACGTATCGATTATAAGAATATCATTGTCCATGGTTTTTCACTCAGCTGAATAAAATATCTTTCTAAACCGCACCAACCAACGAATAAAGATATAGAATATAACAGAATTACCATGATATGCAAATTAAGAAGCCATGTTAGTCGTCCATTGGCCGTTTTCAATGTATCTCTCGTACAGAAGGCGTTTTGTGCCACAAGTTGATTAACCATAACCATTGCATCTTCAACCAAATTCTGAAAAAGAAATCTCCTAATCATCAAACTTCATAACACATTCTCTGATGTCGCAAACGAAGAATAGTATAAAATTATTCAAACCTTAACTTGAATTTTCTTGAAGATTAAACAAAATGAGACTTACTTTTGGTATATTTGGAGCAGCCTGTATAATAGGCACAATAATGGGAGCATCGGAAACAGGTGCCAACAACGGCTCAATATTACATGTAACAGTTGCACCACCTTGCCGAGCAAAACTGGAACCTGCTGATCTTCCACTAATACCCATCTAAATATTATAAAACATAAAAAAAAATTCACCCAAACCCTAATTTTCCATGTCTAGTCCAGTCCATCGCTCTCTATCAATTTCTCATTTTCCAATTTATAAAACAGGAGAAAAATTGTGGAATGCTAGCGGACTGCGTGGAGCATATTCTGTGGAATGATGTATATCTTTATTTTACGAGAAATGAGGAACGAACAAAACCGAACTCGTAGTAATATTGACCGAAAGCAACTGATTGACCGACCATCTGGATAAATTGATTCCGACAGGAACTGATTATAATAAGCCGTCGGATCGCACAATTTCAATAGATCAGCTGTCATTGCTAAATACGAGCTTTTCAGAAACAAATATTTTTAGTTAGCAAAGTAATAATTTAATCTCATGCATAAGCCTCAGGATATATTCGTATGAATGAAATATTATTTAGGTCTATCCTCTATCTCGGTTTACAATTTCGCTGGACAATGTTTTATTATAATAAACGTAACCTAAAAATATTAACATAGACAAACATATGAACACTGAAAAATTCAAAAAATTTTCACAACAAATCATTTTGCAAGAATTTTAACCTAATAACATATAATAATTTAGCATAATCCAACCTAATAACATGAATTAATAATTTAGCAGTCTAACATCATCTCATACTTCTTAATCAAATAATATCACAGTTTTATGTGAAGTAACACAACGTATAGAACTTATTGACATATTTAACATCTAAACTAAATAATACGTGTTTAGCTCACAGGAACATTGCAAAAACTTGCTTTCATACAATATTTACAAATGTGATGAAATAGATTTTTGCCATTTTCATTCAGCAGGAAAAGTTAAACGGATCGCAAAAAGCAATAGAAACCTATTCTTCTTTGCACAAAATTAGATCTAAAAAAATCAATCAGAACAGTCCTTTTCAACTAAAAATTCAGTCGCATGCAGATAAATAATATAATAATGATGAAAAATTTTACTGCAAATGGCAAGGAAATTTTTGAATCAAACTTTGCTAAATAAACTTTGAAAACAATAGCTTTTTTAGATCTAGTTTTGTGCTTTTGAGATCTAATTTTAGGTCAGTTTTTTGAAAAAAAGAAACTTCTAAACCAAACCAAACTTTACAAAAGCAAACTTTAGTTCTTATTCGATTTCTTAAATAGAAAACTTCCAAGATTTGTTTTCGCAACAAGACTTTTATAAATTATGTTTACAACTTCCCAAAGATCTTACCGAGACAGAGATCTTACTGTTAGATCTCTGTTATCTCGAAAGTAAGTTTTATATTTAAGTTAAGTTGCATCATCACTAACAGCTGTTACAACAAGGCTATTTGAACGTCCATCAACCAGTCTTGAAGCACGACGTCGTTCATCCTGTCCGCTAGTTCCTGGCACATCACCACCAAACAAAGCGGGTGAAGTACACTGTGGCTGGAAATAGATCTAACATTACATTCCACAGAAATTCTTTAGTAAAAATATACAGTCAGAACCGAAAAACCCTCATTAACAATATGCAGTTACGTCTAACAAGAATCTAAATTTTTAAATTTGGTATTTCAATCAATAATTAACGTACCGAAACAGAAGCGCTATGAGATGAATAGATAAATGGTGGAAGCTGCAACTGCGACGTCGAAAGGCCACGTGGTGGTGAGCAACTTCCACCTTCACCACCGCATCGAATACAAACGTGTCGTTCTTCAAAGAGTAAAACGTTCATTGCTTCTTCATAAATTCTAGCTTCTGGGAATTCGACTTTCGTCTGTTTTTTATCAGTCGCATATACTATCGATGTACAACAAATCTGTAATTTATTTAGCGGTAAATGGATGAGCGAAAACCTATCATATTTTATGGTACCAGATGATGGATGATAAATGATCATGTACCGTAAAATGTTTTAGAATCAATAAGAATGGTTGCCAAAAAAGTCAGTTGAAAAGAGTGAAGCAATAATGCATGAATCTCAACGAGAAACATCAGCTTACTTCCGCCTTTTTTCTGCCTTGTCCAAAGAATGTCCACTGGCAAACTTCTGCATTTTCCGCACCCATATCTGCAAAATGAAGGTTGACTTTTCAAGTATGATCAATTTAACTAACAAGCATATGTAAGGAATTTACCTTTTACAAAAAGGACGCGGTCATTAAATCGCGTAACAAGTCGATCAAACAATTCCAAATTCTTCATTAAATTATCATCCGACTGAGAAGTATACGAATATTTGTTGTTATGCCGATTAATTAGAAGCTTTATAACGGGCTACAAGTAAAAATTTATGAAAGACGATTACTTTGCGTACATTACATACTGAATATGAAATGATCCAGCAACTTCCAGTTGATCAATACTTTCCTGAAATACAGTCCAACGAAGTGATTGGACTTCATTTCTTCTTCGTCAGGTTACGTTTCGGAAAAAGTGTAAGAACACAGCAGAATTACTCAGTCATTTCACTGCATTTTTGATATGCTGTACAATTGTGTGTGCTCTCATGAAATAGGATAAACACTTCTTAAATCCATCCACTAGGTAGTCTAGATACATTTCTTAGCTAAATCAATGACATAGTCTTTCGAGTTTGCATGGAGCTTTCAAGCAGCATATTCTGATGGATTTGGACGTTAACTGTTGAGATCTTTACACCATTATAATATCATTATAAGATATTCAAATGGGAAATTAAGTAGACAAACCACTATCGAAGCTCACTTTTGTGGAAGGAATAAGGTGATCACTGAAATATTTTAATGATTCACAAATGCAATGGAAACAGTACTTTTGTAGTGCTAGTCACAATACGGTCACAATCCCTTTTGGTATTAACAAGTGGAACTTTGCAGATACCGGCAGGTTCGACATCTTCCTTTGTTATCACTTTTAACCAGTTTTGACACAACTGTACTAAATCCTACAAATAATTATATCGTAAATTAAAAAATTTGGACCTAAAAAATATCCTCTACAATGAACAATTAAGATACGACAGAAGCTTAATCTTACCTGAATAAGATAATATTTCGCTTCAGCCAATATTTCAGTTGTTTCAACGCGACATTCTGGTAATGGAACGTAACCGTCTCTCAAAAAATTTAAAATCGTACCAAAATGCTTTCCATTGCGGTCGATTAGTACCCAACCATCATTATCAGTTAGAACCTAAAATATCAATACTACTCAGATCATTTGATCGATTTATTTATTCAATACAATACATTTTTTGTTAACAGAAAAACAAAAAAACAGTGAAAAATATCTCCACGTCAGCAAAATCTGTTTATATTTTAATGGAAATTTAGCAAATAGACTCCAATTGATAAAGCTTGAAAAGAATCTAAAGTGGGAATATTTGTCGTACTATCAATGTAAAAAAACAAATATGAAAACAAACCTCTATCCGGCCGGAAAACATGGCGCGAAGCATGGAATCATGTTTGGTTAAAGTGGATATTGTTGTTTGGTACAGTGCACCGCCGACATTCAATTTGATATATTGAGACGGTGATCCGGCTAATGCCAACAGTCGTCCATCAACTCCATCCAAATCAGCTGCTTCGTTACCCATTCAACCAACTATCGTAATTCTCTGAATCAAACATATTCAATATTATGGTCAGGAATGCCCATAATGACGAACCTTTGTTGGCAATAATTCCGTGAGATTTATTCGATAATGCTCCTATCTGTGCCAAAAAGCACGAACAAAAATTCTTGATTAATTCACTTGTCATATCCAGTAGGAAACAATAACTACATATTATTTAACATCTTACTGGAATCTCTAACAAACAATCTTGCTACTTCTCGATCACATCCATACACATGTTCAGCTGTATATAACTTTGCAGAAGGCTAGCTTTTACATTGATTCTTTGTGAAAATTCTTCGTCTCTACCAGTCGTAGTTTCTACAATTTGTTTGTAATCTTTTTGTACTTTTGATATGATATTAACTATGACACTGTCTGACATTTTGGATGCTGATATAAAAATAAGACCTTTAACAATGTTAACAGTTTAACAGTTTTAAAAACGTTTCTTATTCCATTTGCTGGGAATGTTAAATTGTGTCAATAGTTTTCTGAATGTGCTATCACTAAAAGATAAATAATGCTAATTTATGGAGATAAAATCTTTTAAGGATTTCACTAATATTCGTACAATATAAATGTATACAACTTGTATTCACGTTAAATAATATATGGGATTCCTCTACGTATCTCATTACATCATTTCCCTCTCACGTATCTCGTCACAATGTTTCCCTTTCACATATCTCATTACAACATTTCCTTCTCATGTATCTCATTACAACGCTTACGTGTCTATTATGATGCTCATAATATTTACACATCTATCGCAGCGCTCGTCATGCATTTTTCAAAATATATAATTTATGATTTTATGGGATTATTTCATTTGCAATCTTTTATAAAATATTGCTTAATTAATTTCATTAATCTTTACAACATTGTATCCTTTATTTATTATCAAACATTAGTAAATATGAATTCATCGGAAATGAATAATGACACTAATTAAGCAATATTATAAAGGATTATAAATGAAATAATGCCGTAAAATAAATTGAATTTTAATTTTTTATTATAGTTAAATATGAGAAATAAATAGATTAAAACGATTTATTAACCGCAAATGTTTTTCATCTCTGAATTTTAAATTTTAATTTCCAAAATATCATTCTGTATAAAATAATAATGAATCTTACACGCTACTAATTAATCACTACTCAATCAATTAGCTATATAATACGATAATACTAATAAATTTGACTTTGCCTTTCCTGCATTATGGTCTTTCAAATATGGTTAAGCTGAAATTTTTTGAAGTTAAAAATTGTTTTGATTCGAGACATTATGAATCAAATATGAAACTTCCTGTATTCTTTGCCTATGTTCGCTCGCAATTGTTACTAGCAGCAATCCGAAAAAGATGAAACGGAAACGAATTTCCGGCAAGATTTTTGCAAAATGCTTCTGACAATTTTCCGAATTGTTACACTTTAATGCAAGTATTTTCTAATTTATAGCTAAAATAATTTGGTGAATTTGAATTTAAAATTCTTACTGTTATAGTTCGGTCTGCTGTTATGTTATGCTTTGAAAAAAATTTTTAAATTGAATATATTTTTTGGTTAAGGTTCATCGGGGCATGTTGTTCTTTCAGGAAAAAAGCAATTTCGGCGGAATTGTCACTGTTGCGACGACAATTTCGTTGACGATCTGCTAGAGAAAATTAGTAAAGGTGCGCATTTTAATTTTGCATCAAATCAAAACGAAATAAATTCGTTAAAGTACGAATAAATAAGCGAAATATTAGATTTTTTATTGGGATTATGAATAAGGATTTTGAGAAAATTTTATTTTAAGTCATAAGACAAGTAGAAGCCTCTAGGAATTCTTTATTACTATTCAGATAATTATGTACAAATTATAAACAAAATCATCGATCAGCACAATTAGCTTGCTAATCAATTTAACCAAACGATTTGACAGTTGACGTCGCAAATATTTCCTGCGAATATCAGCCCTGCGATTCGCCCAACCATCATTAGGCACGAATGTTTTGATAGATTATACATCACGGCGATTCATTTCACACATAATGATGTCGTGCTGTGATGCGATCTACGAAATCTTCATCACCACTCGAATCACGTCGATGTTCGGCTGGAATTGTAAATGATACGACTGAAAAAGATGCGACATGTTACAAATTTTGAAATGCTCAAATTTAACAATCTCCTCTAGACCTAATTCGGTTATTCAATGCTAATGTATTTGCAGCTAAATAATCGTGCAATTGATTCTTTGATATTAAGAATTGAAGCATCCCTTTTGGTGAGCTACATTTGCATATAACCGAATTCTCTACTTATAAGGTTAATAAAGAAATGGCTGATAACCTTTTGGTTTTTCTGATTCTGAAGGCGAGATAAGTGGCTCCTCCAAATTTAGTGAAAGCACGAGAGTTTCTAATTTTGATTGCCTGCAAAGTTTAACGATTTCAAAATTATTAAGGAGTGATTTCTAAGCTTCCTGCAAAAGAGTTCCTGCAAGCTATAATTCAAGCATCTATTTACCAAACCTGAATAAACAAAATTTCTCAAAACATTCGAAATTAATGTTTCAGTATTAATATAACATCTTTTCGGATTAAAAATTTTTTTAACCGTTTTTTTTTGCTTTGAAAATAAGCATTCTGAACAGTTAATGTAAAACGGTAAAGAATTGATCAGATGAATGAATTAAATAGAACAGTTTCGACATTCAGAATCTTCCGCTGATCTAATACGTTGTTACATTCAATAAAGGCGAGCTGAACTTTTAACCTTTGTCGCATGGTTTACCTTTTCTCAATATTTGGTGATTTACGATATTTCGAAAACAACGGCAGATCATGCAATTCAACAACTGTACGTTTTTCAGAACCTAAGAAGCAAAGCATCAAATTTTAGCGCATTTATTTCGTTCCACCAAAAATGTTTTAAAAAAACCTAAGACGAAAAAAAGAATTTGAATAAATGCGCTAAACATTTTTGCTGAAATAAATTTTCATTCTGAAATATTTCAAAATGTGATTTTATTAATAAAAATGAAAATGAATTAATTGTAAAATCTAAACGGACAATAAATAATTTCGTTTCTTTACTAATTTGTGTTTAACATTAAGAGCTCTCTAAAAGTTAATTATTTCATGTTATGTACAGTTTACATAATTCTATCTTCTACATGCTGATAGAATTATAATGCTTCATTGAAATTTAGCATTCATGAAATGCATTTCTAATGGTATACTTAATTTTTTTAAATTCAATTCACATGCATATGAATGATTCATTTATATTACTTCTTAACTAGTTGTTATTAATTAAAACATTACCAATTAATTGATATACTAACCAATGGAATTTTTTGTTGCAGTAATCGATGAAGACATCATGTATGAATTGTCATCCTCTGTACCTTCAACGATAGTCCTTTCAGGTGCTACTTCTAGAAATTCCTTTCCTCAGTTACATTGATTCCCAGATGATTTATTGTGCACTTTGCTAGAGCAACAATAAAGGTTAAAAGCTAAATAAAAATAATAGTAATTTTAGAAATTCGCATAGCACTTATATCATTCTTCGTTGAATTCAATTCTTCTAATTAAAATTTAAAAAAAAAAATTCTTTAATAGAAATTAAAAAAAGAAGAATATGTGTGAGTATGCGAGGAAAACCTTTATGATGTACTGAAGAAGCTGTTCGATTTAATTTTGTGATTGTTGTAACTGATAAGCGTCGTGCTTCATTAGCACTTGATCGTATATTTGAATGCCGATGTCCAACGGTACTTTGTGAACTACCCGAATCACTATGAAGCTCCGTGATCGTTGGTGTATGAGATCGAACACTTTCTAATAGAAACATTTCAAATAATTTTGAATGATTCGAAATTGTTTAATTGATAGCATGATTGGACGAATTATTATCAATATGTAAATGAATTGAGGCTTAAAAATGCAAATAGATCCATAGGAGATGAAATGAGATACGGATCAGAAAGTTTTCGATATTTATGAAATACATATCAAATCCTAATTAATCGAATGTTTAGGACAAAATATGGCTTATGAAAGCATGCCAAAAGCTCTTATCGAAAAATCGTCCTTCATCGTTTGTAATTCCTGTGACAATTCCTCTAACAAAGATCCATATCCACGAATTTTATTCCCAAATGCACCACCTAACAATTGCAGGCGTTCTTTGAACTCTGCTTGCCATGCCGCTTCTTGTTCAGTTAAAACTTTCTGTGCTGTCTACAATTATGCGCCCATATAGGTATAAAACAAATGAAGAGACAAGAGAAGATATAGTTGTATTTATAAAGCAGAATTTTAAAATTGATTTTAAAATTTAGGTTTAATTTAACTTCAAAGCCAATGTTAGTTTCGAAGAAATGCAATATGCAAATAATTGACAGCAAATAAGTAGAAGAAAAGAGCTTCAAATATAAAGACAATGAAAGCTTTTTGAAAAGTATACATTTTGGAATACATAATTTTCATTCTAATATGTTTAAGTTTAATTTTTGTAAATTATTGATATTAGCATCAATGGCATAACTGAGATCTGTTAAGATTTAACGTTGCACAACTATAATAGTAACAATTAATTATACATTAAGCGAAACTATAATAAATTAACGATTAATTTATAAAATAATTAAAGTACTTTGCTTTGCAGGAATGGTAAAATGATTAATGATATCGGTAAGTTGACATCGATCATAAAATCAATAAATGAATATAATGCGGTACCACCAATCTTTTTGCTAAGCAAATCACGGATGATTTTAAATACCCGTGGCCATAATACTGTCATCTGCTTCTCGAATGCTATTATCATCACTTTGAGAGCTACAGAAAAAAATGAATTTAATTTGAAGAATAAGAAAAGATTCAGTACATTAGGAATGCTTTTCAGAGAAGTAACAATAAAAGTCGAAATTCATCCAAGAAAATTTTATTTTAATTTTAACAAAAACATACCCAAAAATATTGCTTGACAAACTGTTTCACGAATGATACGATGCGTTGTTACAGTTGCAGAATGGCCACGTTCTGTTATGGATACGGAACCCTGTCGCCCGGAAACATCTATAACGGTTATACCTATAGGTGAAAAAGACCTTTAAATATAATATTATTCGTAAATGTTACTATTTTCTTTTATTGCAGAATTCCTGATTGTTGAATTGGAGAATTAAAAAATTTACGAAAATTTAAACAAACAAACAAGCTTAATTCAGTAAACTTTCATAAATTCCGACTTAAAAAAACAAATAATTTTCTTCATTAATTTCAACTCAAAAAAAAAAAATAATTAAAAATAAGCATTTATAATTAGTAAGGATTGGAAATTAGTACCAGTATGGTTGTTTAATTTATTTTACAAACAATTAAACTAATAAAAAAGACGTTTTACCGTGAGCATTGGATCCTCGCATTAAGGTAGACGCTAAATTTGAGCTAATTAATGGTGCGACACTTTGCCGTGCCAGTGGAGGATTAATAGCATTTTGCATCAAATTCAAGCAAAATATCAAATCTTTCGTTTGAAATTGTGGCTTATCTAAAATGTAAATAATCGTCCAAGCATAATTAAAACAAAAGTTTATTCCCCGTTCGAAAATTACTCATTGGTGTTACAGAGCAGATGTGCATCACTGATGTAATTTACCACTATATTAATCAGATACGAGATAGTTGCATTGTATTTATTAGCGCAAAATGTATAACTATTCAATTTATGCTGTTCAATTCGAAATTTTAGTTAAACCCATTCATCTAAATGACTGGCAGCATTTTTATAATGTAATCGAATAATAAATATATTGAATATAAAATCTACTTTGAAAAATATTA